TTTGCCCTTGTTAGTTTCTTTATAAGTGGAGATGAATCGTTACTAGATTGTGTTGTAACGTTACTGTTATGTGGAGTCGGTGTTTTCTAAATTGAATCAGTAAGCTTGGTCACGGACTGAGAAAGATTGCTATAATTGTGTTCGATCATAATCCACAATTGTTGTTTTCTTTCAAAAGGTTTGACCATGCTTATTGCATGCATATGGTGGGGTGATTGCATCTCGACCTCTAAACAGGGAGAATTGATTAGTCCTGCTGTGAATAAACTTATATATTGATCAAACCGAACGAACTTGTTTGCTCTTGCTAGTTTTCTTATAACTGTCTTTGGCAGTCTGCAATCGATTACTCTTGTTTCAAGTTTACCAATTCCTCCAACGAGTTACTTTCGGCTGGCGGCCTAAATCTCAAAGAACAATAGTCTTTGAATTCAGTCTAGTTGAATGTAGATTGTTTAGATTTTAACTGGTGGTACCATAACTACGCCTCTCCAAGCATATGGAAGGTGGTTAGTCCCACTTTATCCCTTTCTGGCATGTGTTGGTTGGTAAAAAACTTCTCACATCGATGCAACCATATTAGAGGATCTTTAGAGCCATCGAATGTTGGAAAGTCTAACTTGGTATAATGGAGAACTGACTCCATTACCTGAATGGTTGTTTGCATTCTGCGACTAACTTCCAGTGTGAAGCACTTGAGGTGGTTGTTCCTGGCAGTCCCTTCTGATTTTGTTCGTCTGTCACAATTAAAGTTAGCCAGTATCTCTTTGAATTGTGATGATAGTTCCTGCAATTGGTTGCCCAATTGTCTTTCAATCTCTGCGGTCCGTGCCTTGTTTGTTGGCAGGGTTTCCTAGAGCATCAATCGCAGATTTTCTTTTATTGTGAAGTCACTTATTGTGTTAGGCCCCAATACCAATTTGTTATGTTTATGAGAGTAGGATCTTGTCACTTGGCAATTCTTTGGAATTTTCGGTTCTAAAATCTACGTCTTTTTCTTATTGCGTTTACTTGAGCGACCTATTTTGGTGAAAATAGATTACAGCTCATTAAAAAAAACTGCTACCTTAGAACTTTGTTAAAGAGAGTTCCAATCTAATAGTTTAAAATAATATTCTGCTTTGGTTTTATTAATAGCAAACATACTTATTTATATAGAAGTTATAGTTTTTATTTAGGAATTCTAATGTAATTAGGAATCTAAATTTAATTAGCAATATTTTACTAAAATATTGGAAAACTTATGCTATTTAAGAATCCAATATTAATGGGAAATCATATGTTCTTTAGAAATTTAATACTAATTAGAATTTCATATTTACTATTTAGTAATTTAATATTAATTAAGATTTCATATTTAATTAGATTTCAATCTCTTATTCAAACTTTATAGATGGGTCCATAACAGCAACTTTCGGAGGTGCATTCACCTTTCAAAGTTGTCGGTGGGGGAACTTGCTTTCAATAGGCTCTTTATTGAATAGATATCTATAGAAAGACCTAACCGTCAATTGCCTAGACTTGTTGAGTGTCCAGCTTGCACAATAACTCTTCATATTTGTTAGTCTCCTGATCATTAAAATTCCGTGTGACCTCCACTTGTCAATCCCTACTGCTCTGACCCTCTTAGAAAACCTATTTAATAGATGTCTTTGAAACGGACTATAGCAAAAATCTGGGAGAACCTAGCTCGCAATGCTCCTTCCATCCATCTGTCTGACCATAAGCCAACGCTACTCCCATCAGCAGCTTTTCATTTTACGCATTCTTGAAACCTATCTATACCCATTTACAAACTTTTCCACAGTCCTCTACCTTACAGTCTCTCCCCCATTTGGAATATCAACGTCCGCCATTGTCCTATACTTTGCCCCAATGACCTTCCCCCCCAAAGCATCCCTTCGTTTCATAAAATGCCAAACCCACTTCCTTTGAAGTGCTTCATTCATCTCCATCATAGATCTCAAACCCGAACCCTCCTCATATACTGGTCTGTTGATCCTGTCCCAAGCCGCCAAGTTGATGTTTGATTTAAGAAAGTGTCATATAGTTTTAGGAAA